AATGGGCCCAGGATATAGGAGGTGAGAGATCAGACCAACCCTACAAATATCTGTAAAAGCTCAGTCACATTGTTGAATATAGGTGTTAGAGAGAATTGTAATATGATAATGCTCAGGACATTTTGAAGATAATAGATATCTTTTTTCCTACTGTAAATGATCCAAATTAATTGTCCATTGACTAAATGATTATTTTATAATCATTTATAAACACATTCCTCCTCTTCACATATCATGATTAGGTTAAGCAAATATACCAGTTACCTTAGTCCAAAATTGGACAACTGTAACTTAAAATTGGTCACTATCTAGGTTTTAAGCCACAATTTAAACCATTATTTTAAATTAACTGACTCCGTATCATAGTTTTCTATTTTGATGTATTTGGGAATAATGCTAGGTGTTGCTGCTGCTCTATTGTGAAAATATTACTCAGAACATTGCTTTTAGCTGTTGTTGTGGAGGGTAACCGTGGAGAGTTCTTCAGGTAGACCCTGCTGTGTTGATGCCACCTCATTTCTTCTTAACAATTTTAGTATTTAGAATCCGTTCATCCACTTATGAACAATGAAGAATTTAAAAGAATGGAAGGTCTTGGCAAAGATTTTGCTGTAAATCTGGGACCAAAGCTACAGTGGTATCTGAAGTTAAAGTCTTGGTGGGCTACAAACTATGTAAGTAGGTAAATCAAATGGTTTCATGAAATCATATATTTAACTTTCACAAGTTTTCTTCATTTCTGAATTTTCCAAAAAGTTACTTTGTAAAAGCAAAAAACACAACGTTTTAGTGTGTTTCTTCTACCCTCATTAATGTGTTATTTGTAGAAAGTGATAATAGCTACTTTGATGTACTTATCCACAGAAGTGAATTTTAAATAGTCCCATCATACTCAAACATTCTGACTGATACTTTCATGCAGTCTTCACCAGCTCTGTTCTTGTTGCCAGAGTGTCTGAGAGCAGCATCTGATGCCTGAATTAAACTGTTGAAAATTATTTGTTTTCTTGTTTGTTTATTTAGAAGATTTATAAACTCCTAATTCCAGAGTGTTTAGGCAGTATACAGAATCAAAGCATAATACAAGGAATACCATAATAAAAAACAATAAAAAAGTAAACAATAAAAATAGTAACAGGGTGGATCTTCCTTTAGCTGCTGAATCACCCAAGGTCTTCTGGAGAAGCCAAGTTTTAACTATTCTCGGGAAGGCCATGTGAGTGGGGGCTATTATTGCCCTGGGGAATAAGCTGTCCCAAAGAAGGGAAGTGGCCACTGATAAAGCCTGCCTCCTTGTCCCTCCTGTTGTAGGTCATGATAGGAGGGGACCTTCTGCAAGCACTCCTTGTCTTAGTGAGGCTAATTATTCTAAGTCAGTGTTGTCCCAAACTCGCCCCCTTCTAAATAAATAGAGATTATCCCCTAAACATCCCCCCCCACCACCTCCCCCCCCTTCTAATAATGAA